TAATTTTAAAATTCAATCATCAAATAAATAAATTATTTAAATTTTACAAGTAAAATCAAGTTAAATTAATAGTTAAGGCAAATTAATTATAATAGAATACCATCAGAAGATATAATAGAATACCATCAGAAACATTGATTGAGCATCGGTATAACAGTATCTCAGAATACAACATAATTATTATGCAATACATATGTATAATATATAATATTTACATGTATGTGATATTAATTTGTAATTATTAAAAATATTAAATGTAAATTATAATTTATATGAAATGTCTATACAATATCTTATTTAAATAAAGCTTGAAATATAATTATATTAACTTTATTCTTATTAAATTTTCAGTACATATAAATCTCAAAACTATTGCATCAATATGTATTTAAAAATGTTTTTAAAAAATCTATAAATTTAGACAATAAAAAACGTGTTTAATTATATTGTTTTTCATATCAAAATAAAAATAATTATTTTTAATTTAATAATTGAGAAGTAATAGGATATAAAAATGGATAATATGTTTAAATAGTATTTATATCCTACTAAACAGAATAAAATAGTTTGTTTTTTCTTTAATGTAGAAATAACAAAAGAATTTTTTATAAAAAATATTAATAGACATATTAATAGACATATTTAAAATGCTAAAAGTTGTATATACTAATATACTTATGTAATAAATTTATTTGATATATTTAAACAGTAAAGATATGTTTAAATTAAATATATAATATATATATTATTTTAGTTTTATTTATTTGCATAATAAATACATCATAAAATTGCTACTCTACGCCAATGCTGCAACTGCAGGTAGTAGGTCGCGTGTAGCAAACTCCACCCTTTGAGTAGTAGGCTTAACCAACAAAGGACCACCTCTCGTCACCCATCATCCCCCACTTCTTTCGACACAATTTGATTCATGATGGCTGCGTTCACCTTATATTGCCATCTTTTAGATATTATATGAACTATTGTGAAATTTGTGAATATTAAAAGTGATATCTTCGATAAATTGTTACCGACCATACGTTAAAAGAACTTCAGAAGTAAACTGTTCAGATATTTATTATAGATGGCATAGTTTTTGATTTCTGAAAATTGAAACAAATTGTGACATTAATTCGATGATTTAGTCAAATTTTTTAAAGTAATTTATATTGATGGTAAGACATGCAGATTAAAGAAAACATATTAATTTTTTCTATAAATGATCTACACATGAGTAATCTACTATATAATAAAAGTGCAACACATAAAAGAAAAATAGAATTAATTAATTTTTTATTATATATCCAGATATTTTTACACAGTTATTTTAGGCATTTAGGTTAGATATATCTAAAGTAGATCGTATTATAATAATTCCTCTCGACCAACTGCCTGCAGACGTCATATCGCATTTGGAAGCTCTGTAGCGCACAACCTCGCTGTCTGTCTTACCTAACCGTTGAACTCCCATGGGTTCAGTATTCTGAAATATGTAACTGATCAAAGTAGAATGTGGTTCTTTCTTTATGAAAGATGGCATCGACTAAATTCGCAACGTGAAAATATTTATATATAAATATCAAGAAAGATAAATATATATATATATATATATAAAAATTATTGTTTTATTTAAATTTTATTTCATTAAATAATGTACAAAAAGTCTTATTCTGTGTTTTAAAATCTCAATAAAAAACATAATTATAAGAATATACTACAAAAATATCGTTAAAATTACAATGACATGTATTATTATTTATAATGATTTAGATTAATATAAGTAATTATATAATAATTTTATTTATACAGTAATTTTTTTGGTGATAATATAATAAGCATTCGCAAGAAGCAGCGTTCGTGCTGACATGTTGATAACTCGTGAATCAATACAGCGAGCTTCTCAGAAAAATAATGATGGAATAGACGGAGTTGTTTGCGGGTAGAACTTCCCCATGCTACTCTTCAGCTTGGAAGCTGCTACCAAATCTCAGCCCGTCACTACCCGTGTGATTGATATCTGCCTTCCCCTTTTCTTCATCTGTACAATTCGCATCACGAAGAGAGGAAACTATTTCGTTCGCGCCTTTTTTCGCGATCAAATTTTCGCTCTGTTCAATTGTAAAATACTTAATTATTTTTATTAGAAAATGATTCATTTTAATTAGACATATTAATAATCTGACAATAAATGTGATATTATGCAAAATTAAGATGTTTAGAGATAGATTCGTTGTTAATTTGAAATTTTAAAATAATTGCAGTAATACGTATAAATACGTTATATAATAACGTAGTAAAAGTGTTCCTGCGATCGTTTCATGCTGTTTCCTGAAACAGCATCGCGAAAACTAGCATGCTTCGACTACCAACACCAGTTTCAGGTAGCGCAAGTAGCAACGTCGACGGGTTAGGTGAGTAGGCGATGGAGTACCAGCCGAGTTCTGCGGCCGTCACGTCGGAGTGACGAGTGCCTTCCCCTCCGACCTACCAAACCCATCCACCCGTCGACCGCCCAACGTCACCCAACACCACCGCCGCCAGCCACATACCCTCAGAGGGCTCTCCAGGTTCTCCGGAACCGCGGAGCACCCCCTTTCACTCTTTGCTTCTCTTCGGCCTCTCTTCCTTCAACTACGGCCGACTAGTAGTCGAGGAATTCGAGTTGCTATAAATCTCCCTTGACGGGCGCGATGCCAACATGGAGAGGAAGGGGCCGGGACATGGGTTGCGGGGAACTGCGAGAGCGAGGAAGGGAGGTGGCGTAGATAGGCAGCGGAATGGGGATGCTAGAAAGGAGGGGAACGCGCTTCGCCATACCAGGAATTGTAATAGTTTTGCTAGAGGGGTTAACGCGGTGTGTGCAAGAGCGCCCCCGCGAGAATAGAAAGAACCCGAAGATCGGACGATGTGGCTCTGTCTTGGTCCGTGCCATTCCGGACTGAGGGATGTTTCCGCTTTTGTTAAGGTCTGTCACTCAAGATTCGCGTTATGCGGGGATGCGAGCGAACCCTTCCGTCGCGGTTTGAAAATTGTGAAAGCAATTTTCACTGTTACTTGCGACATTTTCTTACAGAAGAAAAAGTGTCAAAATGTTTATTCTCTCAAAAAATTCAATAAAATTAAAATAAAAATTTGACGATTCCTTCTTTTAAAAAAATAATTAAATACAGCAGTTCAATCATTGTAAATATATAAAGATATAAAAATTAGACTATAGAAAGCTTAGTTAATTTTCTCAATTTGTACTCAAATAATTAAATTTTAATACTTTTGCTATTTAAAGAGGATGTTATTAATGACTTAGTAAAATTACTTTCCCTAAAATGAGTTTTTAATCTTAAAGTAGTAAAAGAAATAAGGCACAAACAAATTACGATAAGAGAAACTGGAAGTAGACATTCTTAAGAAGCAACAAGAAGACCTAAAACTTTTCAGGTGTCGACTGCATCGTCGTCGCACGTGAACTATGAACTCGTCGGTGAGTTCATCAAGTAAGTTGGATTGAGGCAAGTCTTGTTTTCTTTGCCGCGATTTAGGAGCTCGATAAGACGCTCATGATTCGACTAGCGTTCTATCTCCTAATGATCCGTCGCGAATGGCGAGCACCTTTAATTTACCGATGTTACATCGATAAAGATGCTATCAGTTATATATACCAGGTACAATGCTGTATAAGGTCACATAAATTTATTTAAGTTAGGGCAATTTTTCTTTAAATTTACATATCATTTCCTGTTTGCGTTAAATCAAGCAAAATAAAAATGATTTTTAATATATTTTTTTATATGTACATAACGTAGTTTTTTATATCATTTTTTAATATAAATTTTTAATATAAATGTTACTTACTTAATATAAATAAATGATAAAAGAATTTTTGTTAAAAGTTTATAGAGAAGAAATATAAATCCACGATATATGACATTCATTGAATAGAATCCAGATAGACAGCAGTGGAGACTTTTACAATTCTTCTAAGTAATTGATTTATGCAAGAAACCCTTTTAAATTTAACATGGCTTTGCCAATTTCAAGGTCTTGTCAAGTCAAAAAGGAACTATATCTTTTCTTGTTTTCTTCCGACATGTCAGGGTCACGAGATTTTTAGAAATTTATGTACAATATATAAACTAATAAATCTTAAACCTTTTTTCCTATTGAACTCAACATTGCATATATCTCAACTGTAACTGTAATAAAGCAAACTATGAAACCGTTATATTCGTTATTAAGCTTAAAGTTAATTGTACTGTTATAACCGAGTTTGTAATATTTTATAGAAAAACGACCGTTTGAAATAGCCGTTACAATTCATGGGGCATTCAGAATTAAAATCATACAGGAAGAATAGCGATAGTTGGTAAAATAAAACGGCAAATTGAATTTGCAATTGGAACTATTACATATGTCGATGAATGAAGTGATACATTTCTCGAAAGCAGTATTTCGAGACTGCGAGGAGCATGCTTGGGAGCATAAATCAATTAAATTATAAATTACTATACAGAAGTTGAGCAAAACGACCACCTGTTGAGGATAGGACAAGGAAAGTAGGATGAAGGGATGAAGTGGGGTAGCTATCTCGTAAATTCCGTGCAGCTACCTCCCCGCATCCATGTATAGAAGCACTTACTTCTTATTTACGCTCTTTTTTATAACTTATTTCTAAAATATAATTTTCATGTCATCCAACAATTATAGTTTTCATATGTTTATATATATATGTATAAATCCATTTGTCAATATTCTGTTACGTAGTGATTGCAATATATGATAATAACACAATTTTAAAAACAGAATGTAATATTTAACTCATATATGTAAGATTTTCAATCTTATTCTATTTTAAGATATAATGTTTTTACATATCCAATGTCGCTTTAAAATATTCGTTTTATTTTTACCTTAAGTATAAATATGCTTTACGCATTCATATTCTATAATTATTAATCAGTATCGTATATTTTATTATGCGATACGTCTTTTCTGTCTGATTTCTTTTATATTTCTAGAATCGCATTCGATAATTGTAATTATACTTTAATCACTGGCGATTCATGGCAATCCATATCGTTTGCGAGAAAGTTGTTAATATTTCAACTCTAAAGCGGATTTGGTAGATAAGCGTATAATTGGGAATGCGAAGAAAGTAGTAGGTAGGGACATTGAGAGCTGCCAGGAATGATTAATTCTTGTCGGAAAGCGCTAGACCCTTTGGAACTCGGTTGTAGCGTCCCCGCCACCCCCGCCTTTCCCATTCCACACTGGCCCTCTTCGCTCTTCATACAACCACCTCATTCCTCTCGCGCACTCAACCCTCTGAACCTCTCTTACCACTGGCAGACTTTCTCGTTTCGTTTGTTCTCCGCCCGTGTCATTCGTTATTACATCGTAGAAACTCGCGGATATTTGGAATTCCAAGTGACGTCTAAAGGGAGCCGGTGCTTTAACCGATAACTCGGTTTCTTATCTTAAAGGAAACTATGTCCGACGCTGCTTTTGTTAATACTCTTACACACTGGACACTAGCTATATTGAAAAATTAATGTTGTGAAACAATTAATCAGGATATTTATTGTCTTAATAATCCTCTTTTATTGAAGAAATTTCTAATAATCGTCGCAATGTTATCTACGCATCTTTGTTAATCGTCGAAAATGCATTATAAAAAAAGTACATATTATAAAATATATATAACGTAAGTATACAAAAACTATGTAAATTATCAGTTGCTGTGTGAATAAGCAGGAATTGCATTATACGTTTTCATTGGACTGGACAATTTTAAAAGTAATATCAGAATCAGATTCATCTCAAATTCGAGCTCATCCGGTGGCCCCATCTTGCAAGAGCCAAGAAGAAGCGCACGCGTCCGATATCGGTTGCATTTGCATAAGGCTATCGTCTTCCCTTTGTTGCGGATTCGCCTCCCACGTACGTGGCGAGGCTGTCACTCAGAGTTTCTGGACTCTCCTCAGTCTTCTCTCACATCAGCTGCGGATCAGTACTCCTCTCTATCTCCCTCGGCATTTCTTCCTCTTTTCTCCTTTTTTTCTCGATTTCAAACCTCCCCACAGCACACAGCAAGCACCTACACCCTGTCTTCGCTACCTTGCCTGCATTCCTGCATACTATTACACGTAGCTGTGCTTACATACATTTCGTCCGTAACGCTTGCTTACTTGTTTAGCAAGTAAGGCTGAATACTTTGCACTTTCAAAGTAATATTGCGAAATATTTTAGAGGATATCAAAAGTTACCCATGACAGACTATGCAAGTAGGTATCTGATTTTTCTGAAAAAAAAAAAAAACTATTTAAAATGTCAAACAATTATAACAAATAAAGATTATAGATATATCAAAAGATACGGATAATGTCTCGCCCAAGTTTCACGCACAGAATAATTATTTCATTTAGTTATCAAATTAGAATGAAAACTTAGCAATCGATCTGATTTATAAAGATTTATATTTATACAAATTAATATATTGATAATTGTTTGTTTCTTGGGATTATATAATATCTAATATTTTAATTTAGCTTTCTTACGTGTTTAATATTAGTAACATTAATAATAATAACAAATATTTAAAGTGACTATCTTTCTTAACTTAACAATTCAAAAATTTGTAATTTGTATCTTCAGATTCAATAGTCATGACTCAACGTTTGTCCTCCTTGTCTCATATTTGCCGCCATGCGATCATCAGAAAATATACTGGGTGTCAAGATGGGAATCTTGATATTGCAGCGCGATAGCTGACCAAAACATTTCGGGCGGTCACGAATGGACAGCGAAGGCAAAACGTGCAAAACGTAAAGGCAGCGGACCCGAGGCCCGGGGTGTTCCACTAGCGCGATACTCTGCACTCTTCGAATAGCTCTCTTCTTGTCCACGAGGTGCGGAGGTCTTCGGAGGTTCCGCTGAATCGCCTAACTGAGAATGGGATGAAACGTACTTGGTGGATACGGGCCGGGAATGGTGATCGCATTAATAAAACATTAAGGTTTTGTAGACGATGTATCGATGTAGTGTTTATATTATCTTCTTTGATGTCGACATGTGAATTGGACAGATTTGTTATTCAGACTCCGTACATAAAAGTGCTGAAGTCTTGCTCCGCTCCGTTTGTGGACAGGGCGGGTATCGACGACTCGGACATCGATGGACGGACGAACGGACAGACGGAACGAACGTGAGCGCAGATGGATAAACGTGAATAGTCTGTTTCAAGTTTGCGTTCTGGTCCCTGCCACGCTTGTCAGACAGCCAGTACGTAGAAAAGGGATCTTATTCGTACGCAGATAGTTCGCTGCTTGCTTGGCTCTGTTAATAAAAAAAAAAGTTTGTAAAATTGTTTCCTTTATTTACAGTTGATATGTCTTTCTATTTTCTTAAATTAAATATAGGCGATTTGAGAGAGAATACGTCATTGAAGATATTAAACGAGTGAGAATGTATTTTGTTCGAATGGATGCGGAATAATAATGCAGAGAGAAATTCTTTGGTGACGAAACCAACCACAGTTGTTTTTCCACGAACAAAAAAAAAAGTAAATCTATAAACAATGAAGTTTTTTTTTCTATGGACTTCCTCCGACTTTGTCTTTTGTTACTAAACGTTTCCATGTCGAATTACATCCGACGTGATTGCTCGATAAATCCCACACCTTGAACGAGACTTAATTTCACAATAGACGACCTACGCGCACTCATTTCTCGGAGCCGCGTGGTATCGACATTCTTCGCGATGTCGTGCTCGGGGCTCCGCGATCCCCTCTACTCGCCACACGGTACTGTGATCCCGAACCTTGACTCTTCATTAATCACCCCATGGTATCAATGACTGACTGAGTGACTGACGGCAGGCGAGAGGTATTATATACTTACGGTGTTCGCGCGAATGCTGATGCTCGTCGTGGGGATCTTTCTCGTCTCTGATAGACTGACGAGAGAGCCTTGTCTGAAAACTTTCCTGTACTTTCCCCTTTCCCATTTCCACATAGGACTTAATAGCTTATTCGAGAATGCTGCATTTTCTTGTAATTTTCTTAATGTTAACGCTTTCGCAAAGCGAAAAAGTGTACGCTAATCAAATAGAGACAAGAGTGTTTTAACATAATTGTTTAAATTTGCCGTTGTACGTAGTTACGTGCACGGCACAGCAAGGCATAGCGAGCAAGTTAATTATCGCGATGTCGAAGTTATATTCAACTCAGGAGTTTCAATCCGCGCTTATACTTTCTGATAGAAGAGCAATCTGATTTAATCGACAGGTCACGACCTTACGGTAGGCTGGCGCCACAGCGCGTTTCCTCTTTATACCAGTCTTCCGTTACGGACTATACACCGAAAGTTACGATTACCCTCTCGCAATCCCTAACAAAGGTGCACCTACGAAACCGATCGAATGCGCATCGTCATCGTCGGTAGCTTAGACGATCTTAGTCGTTTGAGCGAGTCTTGTGACGGATCGTGACTTGCGTTAAGTCTTGTTACTTCTCTTGTTTTCTTGTTACATGACTCCTGTCCGCTTCGGTAGTTTTCGAGGGTGTGACTCTGCTTTATCACACAACACGACCCTTTGCTGCCGATATGCGATTCCTATCAGTGATTCCTTTCAGATTGAATAAAATGTGAATTGTTTCGTGTCGGTCAAGCGTATACATTTTCATGCACGTAAGTCGATGATGCTTTAAACTTACACGATTAGTTTCCAATTAATTTTATATATAATTTAATGCGATACGAGGTCAACAGCACTAATTGAAATTTGTTTAATAATCCGATTTTCCGCGGATAATTTAATTCCATAAGTTTGCCTAATTAAAATAATGAGATGCGTTATTAGTAAAGAGAAATCTGTATCGCTGTGAGATAACCTCGTGTGGTCATCACGCAATTTTTCAATGTGAACGTTATCGCGTTTCACATTTGAGCAATAAAGCGAACGCGTTAAAGTTTCATATCGGCAATTATAAACATAATAATTATCGTCGTGCGTCATAATTAACATCGCCGGCACAATTCTCTTTGTTACGGATAGCTATTAATACACACACACACACACACACACACACACACACACACACACACACACACACACACACACACACACACACACACACACACACACACACACATGCGCGCGCGCTGTTATCAATTTATATAAATTTTTTATTTAATTTCGAGAGCGACAAATTCTTCTGGTCTAGGTTCTAGAAAAGAAATGGACATTGATGATTTCTGTACGTCATACCATTTAATAATTACAATTTAAATTATATATAATTATACGGATCTTACACGTATGGTGCTCTAGGTTACGTAGATGTAATAAGTAAATATTTTTTAGTTAGGCTATTTTACGTATATTACATGGAATGAAATAACATTTGAGTGATGCTACGCGAACGTAATACTTGAGCTTAATTTAACTTGGAGAGAACGCATTTATTTGCACCTGACGAATAAATAGTAAATATCTGCAGTTTCCATTCCGTCTCTTACTTCGTCAAACTGCGGGCAGGCTGCGAACGACTCTAAATCGATTTTCGATAAGCATCGAGATAACACGGCTACGTATCCCGCAATGGATCTCGTGTAAAAGAGTAATGCAAATCTTGCATTATTTGTGCACATCATTCATAGGTACGGGACGTGTTGTACGACACGCGGCGTAAACAACAAAAAATAATAATAACGAAACAAATAAAATACAATATTAACACTCGACCAAATCATAAGCAACAGACTCACTCTCAATACAATAATAAAGATAATATCAAGAATTTCAATAATGATAATGATAATAATAATATTAATAATAATAATGTAATAATGCTCACTATGCTTTATTAAATATCCGTATTTAATCCGTATACGAGGCGATAACGAAAAGAAAAAAAAAATTATGTAGTTTCTAACAGTATTTTTGTAAGAAACAAATAATTTTCTGTACATTTTGAATCATGAATTTAAATACATATCCCGCGATAGATCAAATTTATACTCCACTTGTTCCAATTAAGTGAACGCAGAATATCGTCTAACGTGGTGAGTAACTTATCGTTTAAGCAGATTATTTCGTTTATCAATTCACGATTCACATGAGAAAAAGAAAATCTTTCGTTAACGCCTCATATAATGATAACGTTCTCGTTCGATATCGCATTATACATATATAATAATTATGTACAATTCAATGCTAGCTTAGCTAGAAGGTCTCTCCTTTATTTGTTTCCTTTCTCGTTTATATCGCTTAAAATCTCGAACAACATACACACATACTAAATTCCCTGTATTCTTCCGAATTTGCATCGCGTAACGCGCGGTTATGACAATTCAATAAGCATTAGAGCGACTGTTTTTTTTTCTCTGTCATATCACAAGATACTCAATTACTCGAATACTAGCTAATTAGTTTACACATTTGCGCTCGCTTCCCGGTTAACTAGTCAATACCCGATCTCTCTTCTTGGATCCTTCTCGTATCGAATCATGCGGGATAATACGTTTTTCCTGTTACATTCAACCACACATTTATGTATATTCTGCGCCGATAAATACGCGTAATTAGGCAGCACGTGCATGCAATTTTGCGTTAGATATTCAGCGCTGCACATGCACATACATTGCACCATCGAAGTCAGACGTACTCACAATGCATCCGGGGCCATTTATCCCCGCGTTCGACCGCATAAAACATTTCTTCTTCTTTCTTTTTTATTTTTACAACTTGGATTTTTAAAAACTATGATTATGGAAAAACTAATTAGGTTCCTATGTGGATTAAAGTTACTATAGTCGATGCGCGAGAAACAATAGTAGTCCATTTGTTGTAATTAATCATCGATAATCACGATAAAATGCTTGATGCGGTAGAATAAAATGAACGTTAAGTTCCGCGCGAGATTTCCCTACGTATCGACAATATAGGAACAACGTGGCTGCTCCAGGGAGACATTGGTTATATTATGCTGTAAATTATGTACAAGAGATGCAGGGCCATAGCTGTTCACCGTTTCGTTAATAAAGTAAGAGATACAACATACGCAGATCACGTGACGCAAAAATTAATTTTCAAAAAGATTTGTTATTTTAATATATGTATCATTGTTCTTTAATAAGTTCTACGATTGCATCATGATATAAAAACAATGGAATATATAAAGAGAAGGTAAGATGTCCGCATCCAGGTATTTGATATAAAAAATATTATAATATTATAAAATATTATACGTATTATAATATTATAATATTATAAATATAAATATTATAAATACTTCGGATGCGTGTGTAAAAGTTTTTAGTTACAGTTAATTTTGCAGATATTAGTTACAATAATCGTACTATTTTAATCACATGCAAATTATGCTGCACGAATATCTCGTTGTTATTTTACTAATGTAGTTGCCGCGTCCCAACAATTTCTTATTTTCTAGAAATACTTCATAGAGCCAGCATAATTTATACGCAATCAACATGGATTTCTAAAGGTCACTTCTCCCTTCCAATGAAGACCAATGAAGAATAATTTGACTATTAATAGGTATTTAAATATGATACAGAAATTTTAACATGAAATATGTGTTTCTTTTGAAATTGCTTCAAGTCTTTCGCAAAGTCTTTTCCTATAAATATATTTTCGGAAGGCCAAATAAGAGAATGACGATAAGAGAAAAAAATAATAAATAAATACACAAGCATGTTCTATAATTTCATTTTCAATCGGCGATCGATTTCACATGAAACAGTGTGCAGCCAAGACAAGATAATTAATTAATTCATTATTTGATTAATTAATTATTTAGATCGCTAATTTCTACACCTTAAACTAGAGATTCGATTTTATCTCACCCGCTGAGGTGACCTCTCATTCGCATCATTAGTATTATTTATTATTATTAATATCTCATGATCGCATGCGTGAGAGTCCCTCGGAGCGCGTCCAGTCTATTAAATCGGGCGTACGGCGATATATACGCAGAAAATTTTGGCTTTCCTTCAACTTCAAACAGTCGTACAGTGATATGCGCGTATTTGCGCGTCCGCAAACCAAAGGCGGCATGACAATGGATTGTTTTCGCTTAACTTTACAAAAGAAAATAATATTTCTCTCGTGTCTTTTGATTGAGAAATTCTCTTTCCAATAGCTAATTGAACACGCGGACCGAATAATATACATAAATAATTTAAGTACGTTATTGGGGGCATGCGAAAGAAGAATCTACTATCTCTCGCTACTTCGGCGACAATCCATTTTTTACCAGCCATTACGGAGGGGCATTACGGAATCGGCGGAACGCACCACGTGTCCTACTGGAAGTGAAGTCCCGCTCGAGACCCCGCCAAGTCACGAGTGACAATGTCATGACGTACCGCGGGGTCTAAGGCGGAAAAAGCCTTTTAAAAGTTCTGCTCGCCATACATCCCGGGAAACCGGACAGCGTGTGCTCCGAGCTCAGCGGGCGAGAACTCGTCCTATGTGGCCAAGTGAGCGAACTGGCCGGGGTGGGGCGCGAACTGGTAAGGGTGCCCGTACGGCGACATGTGGTATGGTACGATGTTCATGCTCGCCATCTTGTGCTCCTTCTTCCACTTCATACGCCGATTCTGGAACCAGATCTTTATCTGACGTTCCGTAAGGCAAAGAGCATGCGCGATCTCAATACGACGCCGCCTCGTCAGATAGCGATTAAAGTGAAATTCTTTCTCCAGTTCCAACGTCTGATACCTGGTGTACGAGGTCCTTTGTCGTTTTGTCTCACCGTTCGCGTTTACCGTACCTGGAAATCAAAAATTTTCGTCATTTCATTAGAGAAACGAGTATAGATAATATAAATATGAATTTTATGGACGAAAACTGATAAATCGATGAAGATAAATTGTTATTTTTTTTTTTACTAAACGTATCAAATACGAATTTATGTATGAAGACTATTGTTTAAGACAAACTGTATTTTATCATAACTTTATCGCGGAGAAATCACAAGTGGAAAAGTTAACGGAAGATCGAATAAAAAGCATAGGAATGCATTACTAAAGAACCACGTGCGTGCAATGCGTAACGATCTCGTTAATTATTTCAACGAGTTGTAGTTAATGTCTCTGCCAGTGCTACTGGATTGCAAACTGGTCGACTTGGCAGCTGTTTTATCTATTCGCTTTACACGCCTCGGTCATAAATAATTTTGCAACGCTATTATTACGATGTGAATAGGATCTGCCTATTACCCTTATTTCCTTTCCCTTAATTCCTATTTGCAAAAATTGTGACTACACTGAATAACGCCTCGACTTAGCTTCGATTCGTGCGACGATTATAATGTCCACATGTAATATAATGATATAAACGTTGCACGAATCACAAATTAATGTAATCATAATTTAATATATCATTATGTAAATTATTGTTTAAATGAGAGATAGCAATTTTTAGATATAAAAGAAATGGTACATTTTAGTACTGCAATGTTGCGTAAAATATAGAAAACACGTAAAATTATTTACTCTAAAAAGTGGAAAGATAATACGATATATGTGTATAATCTGTTTAAAAAATAAGCGTAGAGAAGTAATATAAATATTTTTCTTAAATTTTCTTGATGCAGGCGATGTTTTATTATTGCTTTATGGACAAATAAATATTGGTGTAAATTTAAATATAGCACCCGTATCATATTTTAATGTAGTCGATATACTAATAATAATTTCTACCCTTCCTCCAAAGGTAGGCTCCTAACGTAGGCTTCGGTTCGTTGCTTCAGCAGGTGTTGCGCGAGCAAGGGTGCCATTCGTTCGTTTGTTCGTTCGTTCGTTTTCATTCTGGATGGATCATTGCGGATATTAAAGAGTCGGCTCATTTACAGCTATAATAGATAGCCATTAATGAGTGTGCGAGACAAGAGGGAGAAATTGAGGAAAATTATATGAATAGAGTCGTAGAAATAAAGCTAAGTAGGAAGCTAGGTACGCGAATGACAATAATTGCGCAACAAATGCACATCATTTAAATAAATCTCTTTGCTAACTCGTACTCATATGTGTATGCGCGTAAAAATGAATGGCGATAAAATGCATGATAAGTTAAAGAAGAAGTGCTTTCGTGTGCGAATAAATATTTTCCATTGTTGTCCAGAAAGTATATAGCTCTTTTGCAGGTATGATTATTATTATCCGGTATTCCGAGCATTTACGCATAACATTGATAACAGTACGTTGAAGATTCGTTCCGCGACTTTGAGCAACATAGACCGGGCACTTTCACGAGCGTGAAAAGCGTTTTCGCAGAGGACGGCAACCAGCGAGCGTTGAACAACGAAGCTCCTACCGGGCTTAATGACAGGACCCTTCGTCCGGTGTTATCGCTTTCCTCCCGATGTAACACGTCGCTGGGTCGTGCGGCCTGACTTTTTAATAAATAGTGTTCTAGTTGTCTGGACACGGACTCGTTCGGTCTGCATATCGTTTATCCGGCGCACCTACCCGTTTTGTAACAGACAAATGGAATTCCTTTTTCGGTCACTCGCATCATTTTATTTCATTTTATTTTTCATTTTATTGTTTGATGATACATTTACTTTTCGTTAATAATAATTTTAAGCATAATCGCTATTCGCTTATTTTTTTCTTCTCCCTCTTTGATTAAATAAAATTATTTATTAAAATGTGAACTATAAGAATATATTTCTTTGAAACATGCATCCTCGTCTTTTCTGGTGATAAATTGCTATCGGTATCTCGCCGACATCGATACAACACACGTTGATGTGTAAAGGAATGTACTCGGTAAAGGCTGGTGAGAAAGCTCTCGACGATGCTTATATGCGATTGAAATATGTTTCTTAGACGCGCCATGTTAATTCTTCCAACTAATACCACAAGAGAGATCTCGATACGCTCACAACGCTTTGCTTGATGTCTATTACAGGTTCGAAGTTTTTATCATCCCTGAAGAGAAACATGCGCAGGAGTAATAATCTTTAGAATGATATAATTGTGAGTGTGTATGTACGTGTGTTAAATCGAATATTATTTTATCTTCGAGGTATTCATGATTTATTATTTTTAGTGACCATAGCTTTTGATGCATTAAAGTACCGCGATAATCGCTGACCCGATTAAATTTCACGCATGTCAGGCACACCTGTTTAATTAGCATTTAGATTCTATCTGGCGCGATCTCAGTAGTTATTCTCGCACTATAAATTCTAAAGCATCGAGGGGAGTACGAGCCAATATGTTATTGTAACGTGAATTTCCGTAATCATACGCATGACTTACGTTATACATCTCTCGGTAATAAATTTCATAATCGCGTTGCATTTTAAGCAGATGCAATGGGAGCAATTTGTTCGTCAATTCACTTCTGTAAGGATGCAGAAGATTCTCTTATAATTTGAACTTTTACTTTCCTCAGAACATGACTGATTGGAAGGATAAGATATAATCATTAGAAATATATTACTTACATAAGTGATAGAAAGTAATTAATTATATATAATGTTAACGAAGTTGATCGAGAATATCATATATTTGTTCCTCGTGAGATTACCTCGTTATCAACAATCTACGTTTTGTTAATCAATCATGTTGTGTTATTTTCACATTTGCTGTGTTGTAATTATGAAGAGAATCACAGTAATTAGCTTAGTTTAAATATTCAAAGTTATATGATATATGAATTAGGAAGAGGCTACAGATAGAAAGATACATTATTATATATCTTTTATCTTCTTCCTTATATTATCTTTTAATAATTACTTAAATTTTTAAATTAAATGACATTTAATGATGCTACAATGGAGTAAAACGCGGCCATAAATTAGTCGTATAGAGTCCTCAAGTGTCTCATCGAGACGTACCAAAGTGCTTTAGTAGCGGATAAAAATTGAAATAAAAGCGTTCAGCGTGTCTATCGTGCAATGAGAGATGTGCAGGCCGAAGAGGCCGAGCTGCGGCATAGTCGTCGTCGTTGTAAGACTGAGGCCGGGCTTAAGCGCAGGGCCATGTCGTGTCACCCATCTCGATGTCACCTCGTGTCGTCTAGCCTTTTCGTGCCTCGCTCTTAATAGAACGCGGAGCGCGCGTGTATTTGCACCGAACCCTGTACCAAACGTGTCACCGACTGCCAGTCTGCCTGACTGACAGATCGGCTGGTTAAGACTGACTGGTAACACGTGACTGGGATAAAATCCCGCGCGACTTCATGGTGCGCGTTTCCCGGTATGCCCGGATTTTGATCTCCTTGGTTTTTAATACGCGCTTCAACGTTTCTTTGTCCTTCGGCTCTTGAATACAAGTTCTACTACATATGCAATATGTGATTTATATTCATGGTGAAGGAAATGACGTAGCTAAAAGAAATTTCTTGTTAATTGAAATATAAACAAATCGTAGAGATTATAGTTATATTTAAATATTCACTAATATATATCTAATCCTCTTAAATGTGTATTGTACTATATATATATATATATATATATATATACTACGATACATATTTAAAAGAATTGAATATACACTTTATTGAATAATATAATAAAGAGGGAATATTAAATGTTGAAAGTAAAGATTAAAATGCAACTTATAATATATAGAAAAAAAAGAAATTTTGTACTGAAGATTATTAATTAATCAACATCACTTATACATTAAATCTGTAATCTAATTTATAATTTCACATATATAAATTTAAAAAGATAACAATAATAGTTACTATTCCTTATTGTCTGTCTGCTTGTTATGATGTAATGCGTGGGTATTTAATATTTTGCAAGTGGTGTAGGTCAGAGGTATAATATATCACAATACTATTCGTGATAGATTATAGATTAGGTGCTGAGAAAGGAATCAAAATATCTCGTGATCGCGACCAAGCTGTATTGCATTCCGCGAGTGCGAGTGGATAGGTATGTGACGTACACGTATAAGCTCAGTATGTCGGTCGGGAGCAAGTTCCACGAAAGTATATATAGAACCCTTGTGCTACCCCCAACCCCTGGCATATATCTGAATGGTTATCTGATACCAGAGAGCTCAAGTACGGCCATATCAATTCTTTCCATCTGTACGATCGATTTAAGAATCCCAAAGAAACCAATAAAAATCTGTAAGTTTCGCGACGTAATGAACAGCGGGAATTGTTTCAAATCTCGTTATCAATTGTTATATCGGACACTAGTTTCTCACAGGGATTAATGAATCAACGTAAACTGAGAAAATAATGCTGTTGAATCAATAGCATTAGTCTAATTGGAAATAATTTTGTTAATTCAATGACATTATTAATGAAACGAAGATTTTGATTATTAAAACAAGAGCATGATATACTGTTCCATTAATGATGTCATTGAATTAACAAAATTATTTTCAATTAAACTATTGCTATTGATTCAACAGCATTTTTTTTTCTCAGTGTACAGATCCGTTCGTCCATTTTGTAATTTCCAAATTTTTACATTAAAGTACTTATGTGAATATGTAAAAGGAAACTGAGGGATGTTTCTAAAATATTCAAAGGATATATTTTGCGTTTGTATCTTTTAATATATCGTTGTTTCTTTTTTAAATTATACATTTATCGTAATCAGAATTAATATTTACGCGGTATAATATACGCGTTTTTTTTTTCGCAAAAGAATAAATGCGAGAAGGAAATGGAATGCTTTTTATAATTCTCAACTTCATTCAAATCTTTATGCATTTAAACAGAAACATTATTTAATTGTGTAATGAGATAATTCCACGATTACAATGTAAATCCTGTGATAGAACGGGCGATGTT